ATATTTAAAGCTTCTGATATATCTATTTGGAGCCCAACTTTGTTGCCGGCCGATTGAGCGATTCCAGCTGCCGAGGCTGGAAAAGTTTGTCAACTTATGTCAGCCGGCTGAAAGCCTTCAATCGTAAAGGGGATTAAATACCTGAAGTACGCTTTAATGGGCTTTTGCTTGTTCACCAATTCAATGGGAATATTATTCATCAAATTATTATTATTAAAGTTTTATCAAGTTTCGGTTTTATTACAGAAGTACTTACAAGATCAAGGTAAGTCAGCTAGGTTTACTTAGTATTCCTCAAATTCTCGAAACCAGATTTGATATTATGTAATAAAGTCCCTATAACCTGAGAGCTATACCTACGATTTTTTGTAGTCTAAACTTTATTTCTTTAATTTGTTTTAATTTCTTTAATATACTATTCCAACAAAATAAATTCCATTAAATTGAAGACCAGCAAGTAATGTCCTTGCCTAATGGTTTTATTAATATACTATTTTAAAGGAACAACATTGAGTGTGAGATGACGGAACTATCGCCTCTTTGCAGAAGTCCAAATAGTTGTTGCATGCTGCCCACTGATTACGCCGCTCTTTACAAAGCAACACCTATGGTTGGCCTATGATTATTGCCTGCTCGTGTATCTAACAGCAACAGCAGCAGCAACAGCAACAGCACGGCAGCAACACCGAGAGCACGGCAGCAACATCACCGGATCCAGCAGCCTCATCGCGTGCAAGTGTGAGCTCGTGCTGGGGTAATGATGATGATAGCTTTTTGATGCTAATGGTAGACAACCGGGCCAGAAGTTCTATGCGCTGGCTGTAATCCCATTCGGAAGTCGCGCAATTGCACACAGACTGAAAGTGAAATTTCTGGGGGGGACAAGTGCGGGGCTGTGTTGGCGATAATCGTGCAATCAATTAAGGTTAATTGCTATTTAATGCAATCGGTCGAGTCTGCTCGCAGCGATTATGCAAAATCGAAGATGAACAGTTAGTTTCCCGAACTCGCGACGATCGGCGGCAATTTGGTTGGGACCTTCGTGCCTGGGACCAATTTCGATTATCGCCAACAAAATTGCAGTAGCCGCCGATCGGCACACAAAAAATTTTTGATATTCTAATTTCTCTTCGCCGCCGCATTATGATTTGTAATTTGAAGTTATTGGAGCTACTGGCTTTTGCCCGCGGCGGAATCGCATGCAAATGGATCCACTTTTTTGTGGAAATTTGGCGCTTCTAACGGTAATGCGTTTGGGCCAAGTTCACTGATTCAGCTGATTGGGAGCTGCAAAATGTGTGTTTATCTGTCTGGCACATTTGCATATAGCACAAAAATTGGGGAGACAGGACATGGGATCGCGGTACATTTTTCAAGGTTAGTCGCTGACCGGTGCAGATTTAATAACGTCTATGTGGCTGCTTGCTGTTATGTTTAATGTTTTAAGTTGAGTGGCGTTGCCTCTAGTAAAGTATTTTAAGGGGAAAAAGCTTGTGCCCTTACAATGCACTCTTTATTTATGTGTGTTTTCATTTATCTTCCAAGTAGAAGGAAACGTTTACGACGCTGTAAACAATTTATTTATTCTAAATTTAGATCATTATCCGAGTAGATCTAGCCTGGTTTCAAAAATTTGCCCATCTTCACGCACAAAAAAACGCTAAATAATAATATTCAAGTAGCAGCTAACTGACAGTTGAGCCACTTCTTGTATAAAAATTAATTTGATACATATTTAAATGTAATTTAAGCAAGTTAAAATAAATTGAATATATTTTATAAATTTAAATGCTATTAGTTTAGATCATCATCCGAGTAGATGTAGCCTGGTTTCAAAAATTGGCCAATCTTTAATCACAAAAAAAAACCTTAATAATAATAAACAAGTTGCAGCTATCTGACAGTTAAGCCACTCCTTGTTTTAAAATTAATTTGATATATATTTAAATGTAATTTAAGCAAGTTAATAGAAATTGAATCCATTTTGTAAATTCAATTGCTATTAATTTTATTTACTTGCTTGCTTGTGACAATTTAACAGTTTAACCCTGTGCTCACCTTTAACTCTTTTCTGACGAGACACAGCTGGCTTTAATGTGTAGGGAATTTATTGCTTATCATAAACACTCTCGCTAATGTGTGTATATAATTGAACATCCCTTAGAAGAACCCTTTGCAAAGCCCAAATTGCAATGACTTTCGAAAAAGGAAGCGCTTTTAAAGTGCCACATTTTGATGAGTAATTAATGTCAAAATTTGCGGAGTGCGACCTTATCGACGGGGACATCTATCTCGCATCCCCCCATCAACTCGCTCCGGATCTCGAATGATGATACTCGTGCCTAAGTGAAAGCAGCTGTCAGGACGGCAATTAAACTGTCATCAGTTGCACCAAATTTGGAACATTTCGAAATTTTGAAATTTGATTTTAATTGGCCAAAGACAAAGTGCCAAAGTGTGGGCAGCTGTCACTGCAACGTGACGTAGTCGTCGCCCTAAAGCGCTGCTGCTCGGCCAACCGCCAAAACTAATTTCCTCATTGGCGGTTGCGCCATTTTGCCACTTAACGCATCATCACTTTGGCTAATTTGTTGCCATTTGCCTGTTGCCGTTGGCCCCACGAACTGATTGCCTCATCGATCTGCCGTGACCTTGGTGGGCTAATGATGCAGCCGCAACTGCCGCTGATGGAGCTGTAAATTTGCAACACAAATGCAAACAGTGAACAGTGAACAGTAAACGGTCGATTGCAATCAGCATCTCTGCCGCATCTCTATCACATGGCATCTGCGGAGCAACTTGCATCATTACCAACAACTCGGATTGGGGTTCGCAGCAGCATCCTGGACTTGCCGAGTTTTACGCGCTTCAATGATTTGCTTGTGGTCTCTGGATCTCAGTTCGTATTTCAGTCGCAGACGCGGACCGCCGATTAAACGTATGCAACTCTTAACCTTCGTTTAAATCTGCTCTGATTGACAACCTCAATCGCAGCAGCAGCGGACCAGCAAAACGTTGCAAGATCATTGCAGATGCAGATACAAGTTCAGATGCAGATGCGGATACACAGCCACCACAGTTTGTGCTGCAGTGCTTGTCATTGTTGTAACTAAATTTGTTTTGCGGTTCGGCAAGTGTTTGTTTTCTTGTATTTATATTGTTTGCAGGGGACGATTTATTCCATTTAAATAAATAAGTTTATCTTAAAAATTATATTCTTAAAAGGTGTTCTTTATAATGTATATGGAATATGGTACTATTATATTTATTTATTAGTAACTTATTAATTATCAAACATAAATGAAGAATATCTTTTTTGGTCAAGGTAAAAATAAATGCATTATCATATTTTTATTAAACATGTTTTATTATATATATGTATTGAAAATTATTATTGCTTATATTACAAAAAATTTTGAATAACATAGTTAAAATGAATATATTTTGTTGTGCCCTTTAGTTTGACATTTAATCGGAATTCTTTAAGTTTGCTTACATTTCTAAGGTTTTAAGACAGTCAAACCAGACTTGCACAATGTATTATCACGAAATTAGATATGTTAGACTTATATTAAAATGCGAAACCCACAGTGTAAGCCACAGTTTTGAGCACACAACTCAGATCCAATAGGAACGTTTCCATTAGCATTTACCGCGGCATTCAACATACAATTTCAGCACGTTAAGAACACTTAATTACCAGAACCACCCAGAAGCGGCTACCGTCGATGCCTAACACAAATCACCGACTTTAATGCGACAGCCCATTCTGGCTAGGACCGAGGTCCAAAATTGACATGACAACGGCAATACTTCAATGGTCCCTGCTCCTCCCGACCGCCAATCTCCCACGGACGGGCTAAGCGGCAGGAGCCAGACATACTCGTATTTTTGGTGTTAAAATGGATATAGCTGCATTTTATTATGATTATTATGATTTTCGTCAGGCGGCGGCGGCGGGCAGCGGGAAAAAGTACAAATCATTGACGAGTGAGCGGCACTAAACTCATCAGCGGAGGAAGCGATGGCAGGGGTATTCGGAGATGGCGATGGAGATGGCTAAGAAGTAACCGGTAGCAACGGTAGCCGTTCGTCGATGCCAAGTGCTGGCAAGCCGCGTTAATGGCCAGGCCAACAGGCCGAAAGGGGCGGAAGGGGGCGGGTCGGCAGGGGAGGACTGCCCATGGATGGGGGCTCAATGAGAATTCCGTGCATTTGCAATCGCACTTGAGCAGCGACTACGTCCGGTCGCCGATGGTCAGTAGCTGGAGAAGACTCCAGATGTGTGGTACAGTGGATGCTGGAGGTTCTTCAAACAGAATCGCTTAATAATGAGATTTTATTCTTTTAAGTGCATGCCATTACTTTTGCTAAAGGTTACTTAACGAGTTCAGAATTTACCTATTTAACGCAATGCAAAAATGGGGTTTTTGATTATTTTAGTATTTTGTTTTAATTTTTGTAGTGAATGTTGGGATAAATATTAAAAAGTAATTAGTTTTTATATAATACTAGATATACATTTAACTATGTAGTTTTCTAAGAAATGTAAGAAAATATTTCATATATTTATACCCTTAAATTTGATTTTTATTTTTAGCACCGACTGAATATTGAATTTAGCGTTAATATATCAAATGTAGTTTTATATATAATAATAAATAATTAAATTTATAATTTAAATGTAAATTGGCCGTTCTCAAAAAACACTAATAATATAGTGCTATTAATATTTCATTGGAATCTCCCGCCTCCATTGCTGGATGTTTTGAAAATTTGATTGCACGAGATGCTTTCATTCTGAGCGAGTGAGCACTGTAGCAGGCTACTTCTGTTCGCTGCTGATGACGCCGTTGAAATCTTTAACGCGTTCTGCGCTTGGCATGATCATTATCGCTGGTTTCGTTTTACGCAACTGCTTCTCAACTCATTTGGCTTCGGTTTTGGTCCCACTGCAACTGCATCAGCAACAGCAAAAGCAGCAGCAGCCGCAGCCGCAGCAAGCGCAGCAGCAACAGTTGCAGCAGTCGGACAGTCGGTTTTCGGTGATCCATCAATTGGACTCGTACTCGGCCAGTGTCCAAATGCAACTTCTGGCCATGATGTATGCTCATTGCACACAGCTCCACTGTGGGGACGAAGAACTGGGGGTCTTTTGGTGCTGGTCTGCTCTGTTCTTTGTCTTTGTTGGCCAATTTGATTTGCTACCATTTGGAAGACAAGTTGGCGGCTCCTGATTACTTGTTGTGGTGGCATCAAAAACAAATAAAAGCTTAAATTGTGTTCGGATCATAAAGCAAAAAGGGTTTAACCCATTGATTGTCTGCTGATTGCCATTTATGGCCTCTTTCGGCGGTCGAGGATGTCTTTGTATCGCAAGTGGATCTGGGTGGTTTCCGCCGGCTCTCCTGTTTTTGGCGGTTTTACAACATCACAGTTATGATTGGGCTAATGAGTGTACAAAGGCTGAACCACCAATTCTGCAGAAAGATCGCCCCGTAATTTGCGGTAGTAATTGTGTGAAACGAGTTTCGTGTTCACACATTTAGCTGGAGCTGTACCGTGGCAAAATAATAATAGCTATATCGGTAGTTATTGAACCCACAAAAATCTGTCTCATAATCCTCTGATTCTTATTAAATAAAAAAAAAAAAAGACGTTCTTGGCTCTCTTATTTTTTTACAAAATATGTAATTCATCTGCTTTTTAATTTTTTTTCTTAACTTACAATTCCCTGAATGTCAATGCGAGTTGAATGAAAATTTTAGAAGTTATCTTTAGATTTCTATTAAGTTTTTCCAGATTGTTTCTAAAAGTATAAAAATGTTGCAATACAAACAGTTTGCCTAAAATATTTTGAATATGTGACTCCATAAATTGCGTATACGCCCCAGTCTCGACAGTTTGGAAACGCAGTATGACGAAAACTGGCCGGCCGAGACATTTACGAGCCATAAACTCTTACAGCGCTTACATTGTATTGTGGCCGGCCAGCAGCTACAACTAATTGGGTCAAAACGCGTCTGCGAGGGTCCGAACCACACCTGTTGGCAGGTGATCACTGGAAGTGGCCGCAATGACGTTTCACTCAAGACACGGCAATGCATTTGCAATGCACAAATAAATAAATACGTTTTTGACAGAAAGATGACGCGAGATGATGACAATAGAAGTGATGACATGGCCGATACCGTGGCCCTTCATCCAGCCCTGCTTTTGGCCACTTGGCCAGGTCTACATCTACTCTCCACCTGAAGCCTTCTGGAGCGCACACTGGCCGCAGCTAATTGTGCCCTGTCTCTCCGTTTTCGGGACACCAACTTGGCGCGGAGCGGCCAACTTGTGGCAGCAGTTCCACTGGCAAATGGCAAATGGCATAAATTTAAATTTTAATTTACTGCCTCGTCAATTGAAGTCGTGCCCGGGCACTTGGATCCCGTCGCAGGTACGCGGTTAGTCGGCCTGCTATTTTATTTCATTTCATTTCATTTATTTATTTTGAGCTACTTGCAAAATAATTGCATAAATAAATATTTTAAAAAAGGTACCCAGCCCGCTCTCACGCACACTCTCCTCGCTCCTCTCCCCTTAATTTGTTGTATTTTGATTACAATCGTTCGTCCGGCTGGCTCCGAGCAGATGTGGCAGTGGCAGTGGCAGTGCCAGTTTCAGTGGCAGTGGAGTTGGCCAGGAGGCCAAGAGGCCCGTCACCCGCAGATTGAAGCGAAGTGATTGCCTCCGCCAGCGAGACGCTTGAGAGACTGTCCCAGAGACTGGCCCAGATCGCCTCGGACTGGGACAATTTATCAATGAAACGATGGATTGCAGATGCGATGCCCGATGCCCGATGCCCGATGCCCGATGCCCGGCGCTGGTGGTGACATGAATTACGCGAATGTAAATTTCACCTTAGATGCACAACGTCGCAGTGCAAATTGGACCAAATCGGGGTAAAGAAACTAGCTTTGTTCAGAAAATCAAACAGAGTGAATTTTTTATTTTACCATTCGTATTGCCTTAGGTTTTAAAATCTTTAATATCGGTATACTCTGAAATCATATTTGGGTCACTACAAATCGATAAATCGCTTTCTAAACTATAATTCAGTGAAAAAACAAGTTGAATACCCTTTAAAAAGTATGTTTTAAGCACACAAACGTTATTTAATGAACTATAATAATCTATATTCGAGCATAAATAACAAAATATTTGAATGAAATTAAACTTCAAATTTTAAGCTTGTACATTTTTTTGTGTTTCCAAAAAAGCTTTTGAAAAATTTGGCATTGTCAACACTCTTTTTTTATTGATGCACAATGATCAGTAATAATAATTTCGTGTTAAGTGGGATAAGATGGCAAAGACTAGTTAGTAGAGATAATATAATAGAATTACTTAATTATTGTCATTACAAAACACTGTTAAAGTTTCATGCCTATTATAGTTTGATTTAAAATGGCTTAAAATAAGGGGAATGTAGTTCCTAGTAATTCTATTAGTAGGCACTGAGAAATGGTGGCAGTCCAGTAACTCGGGATTCTTCACGTCTCCGTGAATAAATTTACAAAGGAAAGGAGTAACAAGCATCGTTCTACGGTTAAAAAAACTTGGTAAATTAATTAGATGAACTATACCAGAGTAAGATGATTTATATCGCAGCTAAGGCCCCGTAGAGAAAATGGTAACAATTAATTTGATTCTGTAATAAATAAAGTCTTTATGGCAGAGGGATCATTGAATTCTTTTGACTACCTTTCAATAAATCTAAGCAATCCCCTGGTTTTATTCACCATAAATCATGTTTTCAGAAAACTTCAGCCTTACAGTTTTTGTAAATCCAGAAAGGGTGCAAACTTATACATTAGAAAAATTAAATACTTTTTTTATATGGAACTATGTTATTTTCTGCTGAATCTTTCGTTCGTATCTTTGCCAGCTGTATTATATCCGTCTTCGATATTAATAATATCAGAGGAAATCGGACTATGATATTAAATAGCTTCCCTAGAAAAATAAAGAAAAATTGCGGAAAATCTACATACTTTAATTCATTCTATACATAAATGCAAAAGAAATTATTTTTGTGATAGGCTTTATAGACACTAAAATAGAAAAGTTTTTTAAGATAGCTTTAAAATCGACATGGCTATGCCGACTTCCCTAGTGATGCTGATCAAGAATATATTTATTTTATACATTCGAAATTTTCTCCTTCACTACCCTGCAGACTTCTCTTTGAAACTATAATACTCTCTGCAACCTAGTTTTAATTATCATATTGTTATATAAGCAGCATTTACACAAACTCCCTTAAGAACGCTGTTAAAATTACAACAATGTAAAGCATCCACCTACCTTCCCCTTCCCCTTCCACTGGTAAGTCATAATACCCAATAACAACTTAATCTACCAGTCCCACAAAACCCAAGTCTGACCCCCACGAACATATACAAACAAGGCGACAGCGAATTGACATATGCACACACGATTAACAAGTGTTTAAATCACAATAAAACTTTAAATCCCAGCAGATGAAGCAATAAAACCATAAAAACTCCAAGAAAAGAAAATCCAAAATAAACGAACTCGCCACCAGATTGTCTGTCATTGGTTTCTGCGCTGAAGGCATGCAAAAAACTTTGCTGCCAAAAGAAGGAATACGGAAAAAATACACAACTTACGCACCCAAAAATTGGTCAATAAAATCATCGACAAAACTTTTGTTTAGCCGAGTACAAAGGACACCCAGTCGCAAAGGCAGGAAGATGGCATCGCAGAGGGGGCCACAAAAAATAACTTTTTTGCGGGGCGTGTGCGCTGAGCCAGTGGACAAAAAACATTCCCAGGGCAATAAAAATGACAACAGTTACAAAGTGGCAGCGGCAGATACGAATACTGGTAAGGACCAACTCAGACGCTGGCTCGCACGTACACTTGGCCGGAGATTAAGCCAATTTAACAGATGCTTAAAGTCAGAACACTCGTAATCACATATTGGATTAACGCTGCCTAGTGTGAGCTTCAACTGCAACTTCGCATTGGCAACGTATGGAGGCCCTCCGCAACTGAGTCACTTGCATAAGAAGATGCTTGGGGATGGGAAATACTCTTCCTCACAGGATTTTATGGACTTTATCGTGAGTAGCGTAAGATGGAATCTTAACAAAATGCGTCTAGATAGCTCAAAAATAGAGAATATAAAATATTAGTCGAAAAATAATAAACATTACTATAAAATTAAATATATTGAAAAAAGTTATTACATTGCTTAGAAATGTATTCGACATAATTTAACATTTTTAATATAATAAGTTTTTCCGAAACTCTTTTTTTGATTTACAAATTTAGACCTTAAACATCCCTACTTTTTTCTTTAGATTTATTTCAATACAAAAAGCTTGTAAGCTTTTTAATATATTTTTAACTTTATTAAATTGCTTACTAATTTATTCGACATAATTTACCATTTTTAATATAATAAGTTTTTCCGAAACCCTATTTTAGATATACAAATTTAGACTTTAAACATGCTTAATATTTTATTATAATTTATTTAAATACAAAAAGCTTTTCAACTTTTAAATTTATTTTCAACTTGGGTTTTAAGTTTATTTGTTTTAATGCTTTGGGCATTAACAAAAAACTCTGGTTCAGATTTTAGGTGCAGAAAACTGAATATTTTAATTTATAACACTAGTCATTAATATATTAAGTTTTTATCAAGTTGTATACAACATATATGACTACGTTGTTCGAAGAGTTATTGAAAATTGTAATCGAGTAACCTCTTATAGTTTTTTACTGTTTATATATTGTTAAAAAAAGTTTCTGTTAACGACTAAACATATTCGTAAAAGAAACGAAAAACCATGTAAGTTTTAAACATAATTGCGATGTAACAAATAATTGGTCTCCGTACCCATGGGGCTAATTCCAGACAGGGTATTTCCTATTCGCCAGGGCACTCCCTAAACGAGGTCTTTAAATTTATTTGGTTGACATTTGCGGGCTACCGAATACGCGATCCTCTTCTGACTTCTGCCGCCGCGAATGCAAGCCCTTCTTGCCTTTATTTCACTTTTATTTTTCCGTTTTTTTTGCCGTACTTTTTTCATTTCAAAATCGCGGCATAAATTCCAAATATATCCACAGCGGGGTCTTGGCTCAGCACATTTTTGGGTCTTTTTCGGTTTTTTTTTTGTTGGCGGGTCCACAGCTACTTTGTCTTTGCCGTTGCCTGCCATGGGGCAAATCCTTTAGACGAAGTCGCATGTTTGCCTTTTTTTGGCACTT